CCAGTTTTTTCCTCGGGACATTCTGTTACGTTAAAATCAATGCTTTCAAAATAGGAATTGCAACACCTCCGTACTGCTGGTGCTTAACTCTGCTCAATATGGCTCTTCGTAAAGAACCTTCTATTTGTATGTTAAAGATACAGCACTACTTCTGCACAGAGTTTATTAAGAAAGCTTGCTTGCTCCAAGTTAAATCCTACAAGCCTTTTGCAAATAAACTTTTATAATTCTGTTGTGATCCGCTGGAAGGTTTTCAACACCAAAGCTACTCAAATTTCATCCACATCTGTGTCCCTTTCAAGACACTAAAGCCTTTCCTTGTGCAGAGCCCAGCTATTGCGTACAGGGCGTATTACGAGGGCACAGTCCCACCGGTTTCTGATAGACTTGTGGGAGGAGAGCCCTTGATTTATTGCACCAAGCAATGTCAGGTGTATTGGTATAACCTTCCAGAGCATTTCTCTCCGGAGATTTTGCAGTCACTGCTCAGTTATCTATTTTCTCAGCCATGTCAGGTTATTTTCAGTTGAATGGGTTTTATTTTAAAAATTGATTTGAACCAATTTTTCAAAATAGCCTTTGATGAAGACACCAGTTCAACAGGATATGAACTTTCTCACATATGTGCAAAACGAAGGTCCACAAAGCTAGAAGGTCTGGTTGGCTTCTTTGATGCTGGTCTGCCCAGAGCAAAGCCATACAAAGCAGTGGAGACTGGCTGGCAGAGGCCACGCTACAAGGTCACACCCTGGCGAAGGTCCCCAAAAACCCCAGGCCATCACATGGCACAGTATGAATCAGAAAAAGGCTCTTCCCACCCAAGGACAACTGATTTCTGGTGCAGCCCTTTCCATCACTGCAGCTTCTCACTTTATATTCTAAAGGAATAACCTAAACCTATATTGTAAATTATTTTTGAAAAACAATATACAATCTTTAAGCAAAGTTTCCAGCTACATCAGTCACCGTGATTTCATTTGTACTCTTTTTGTGAAAGGAACATCACGTTCCTGACAAGAATCAACTGAGATTAAGTTGTGAAGCAAAGAATTATGGCACAATACATAGCAGCAAACTGGTTTGTCAAGGCAATGGTTCAAGTACCTGTTACCAAAAAACTCTTCATAAGACATGCAATCATTTGAACTGGCCTGCACAGCTAGTAAGCATGAAAACGGGTAAGCATGAAAGCACCAGCTTAAGAAACCCTACAAAACCACTGGTATTTTGGGGTAGATGTTCAGGGTTTGTTGAATTACGCTTCATAGTGTTAACACGTCTCACCCATGGAACGTGGCACTAACAAATTAACTTTTAAAAGTCTGTGGAAGTATGGGACTTTTTAACATGCATTTCACTGGTTTCTATTTAAACTTCAAATTAGTTTATTGACTGACTTAGCTCATTAATTGACTAGACCAGTTTTGACTTCTCATAAGATTAGCAGGGCACCGTTTACTACAGGCAGTAGTTCTCTCCTTTTGCTAAGAGGATAGCATAGCTGGTGTAACATTGCTCAGTGTTCACGCTTCCCCTTGGAGTAATCAGCCTCCCTAATTAAGACCTTCGCAGCCTACGTGAGTGTATCATTAACTTAACAACTGTCAGAGGGAATGTCTCTGCCCAAAGGGTGGGATTTGGTAGAAAGGGTAAAGCCCTGCCACTTGCCACTGAAGTTCAGATGTTCAGAGGTGAAGGCTTGATGCTCTGTAAAACATGGGTTTGAATTTTTTAGATGTCTACTGAAGTTCTAAAGTTATTAGTTCATTTGCACAAAATGTGAATGGAACATGGTGAACTAAAAAAAAAAAAAAAACAACCATCAGTTGTTTTTCTTTCTGAACATTTAACCACGACTGATGGCAGACACTTTTGTGGATGGTGTGTGCTTTAAAGAACTATTTCTTCAGTAGTTTTCTGGGAATTCTTAATCCACATTTGAAACTGCCACTTCAAAGAAAATATGATCGTGCTTAAAAGCAATACGCTTAGTGTGACTTCATAAACAACCCTGCAGCCGTAGGTAAAAAAAAATTAAAGGGAAAGATTTAAGAGCCAAAAGAAAACCCACAACACACATGATAATTAACTATTTTAAATGGGCAAGGTTTGGCCTAAAACCAGCATCAAAGTAGTTGATGATCAGCGAGTTAAACTGTTCGTCAAGGGCCGGAACACAGCACTCTTACACACCGTCTTTCCTCGCCGCAGCTTATGAATGTAACACAACCTGAGAGAAAAATATTATCCTCTCCCAGCATTTTAGACAACTTTAAACTATTAACTGGTAGAACAGGTTGATAATTACCAGCCTCATGTGAGCTACCAGGACTTCTGTAATCCTCTTCAGCTTTCATTTCAAGACTCGTGCTAGCTTCAGTTTCTTAAATCCATCTGCATCCCTTTGTTCCTTCGACCAGGGCTCGCTCCAGCTCAGCTGCTGCCACCTCCCACCCCTCTGACCTTTCTCTGCTCACTACCTACCACCAATGTTTTTTAAAAGTTTCTGTAAACAGCTTCTTAATTTCCTGCCACATTTTCTTTTCTTTCTGTATTTAATTAATATAAGGAGTATTTTATGATCCTTTTGTAATGGAGACCGAGACAAAACCGTAAAAATCAAAATTACCCTAAATTATATTAAATCGGTCCGGTGATGGCAGGCTTAGAGTGCAATGCCAGCAGCATCCAGTCAGAGAAGGAAACAGCTATCGGGCTATGGGCAAGGTCTGCAGGTGGATCATTTTTGGTTTTGACTAAGACTCGTGTATCTATCAAGAAATTCTCTCTGGATTATAAAATCAAATATTCTCAGACTTCATCTCATAACTTAATCTTCTGTCTAGATTTTAGTTATCCTGTATATTAATACGTTCATTATTTTAGAGTATTGTGTTTAGACAATTCCTATTGTGTAAGAGCAGTATCCCAGACAAAAAAAAAGTCTGAAGTCACTGTGTCAGATAGGAATTGATTAAAATAAGTTACCGACCATTAAACAGAACTAGATTTTAATTTAATAATAAGGGATTTAATGCAAGCTATTGTTTAATATGTTTTATACTCCACTCCGAAAGAAATTGATGAGGTAATGCTAGCAGACAGCTTGAGAAAAGTCAAGGATACCGGGACATTCCAAAAATCTTACTGTCTCCCGAGAACATTTTTTAACTCTGACATCAACCATCTAATAAAATCTGAATCCAGCAGAGGTCTTGTGAATGCATTTGAAGTAATTCAATGCAAAATTATCTCCAAGACAGATGAAGTAGGAAAAAACTACTAGTTTTGGCTGAAAGGTTTGCAGGACAGTAAATCTTTGGAAACATACCTGACCTAGTAGCAGTGCTGATCAGAAGTTAGCAGTACACTCGGGTGTGACTGATGCTGAGGAAAGCTGGGTAATGGTTAAAGTAGCCACGTTTCTCTCTTCACCCCCCACCTTCTTTATATGTTCAAAGCAACAAATTAATTGTGGAATTTGTTACAAATCGGACACCCAATCAGGAGATTAGGGAGTAGTAAAGTCAGGATTTGTTTCGTTAGGGAAATGCCCTAGAATGTTTCTTCTGACACTCCTTTTTCTTTGTACAACATTACTACTTCAAGTTTAAATATTTTAAAAGGAATTATTTCCAGACATTCCTCCCCTGAAACTGTTCCTGAGGAGTGTGGCTTTTTGGATTTTATGTGAAAAGAGTTAGTATAGTTTGGATAGCAAAGTGTCTATCAATTTGCCCCATATGACAAGTGAAAGACCTTGGAAAAGTAGAAACACCTTAGAATTTATTTTCTGGATCCATATTAGGTATCTTGTTTAAAAGAATACAAAACCAAACCAAACCCCAGCAAACCCCACAGCAATAAGGCTTTCTATTTAAATGTTTGAGACTCACATTTAAACCTTTAAACCTGCATCCCCGACATTAATCTATCAGTGTACTGAACACAGGCAGGAGCTTTCCACCCACGGACACGATTGTTCCTCCGAACAATTAAGCACGAATTTTTATGATTCTATGATTAAATCCATATGATATAATCTAGTTGCCTACATTTCAATTAAGGTGCAGACTTCGTTTGCATTCCAGCAGTTTATGAAACTTCTGTATGGTTCGAGAGGCACTTTTGCCATCACCTTTGCTGGATTACCAGGCAGGAAATGTTAACATCAGCAACGGATTTTAAAATTAACAGAATTTCATGACTGAACAGGTAGATACGAGGCAAAAAGTTAACACTTCATCACCAGTGCCCAGTCTTCATTCAAACCCACTGAGGCAACATATAAGTATGTTGCCTTAACTGTCTTTCCCCCTCTGCCCCTAACTATTATTAGCTGGGTTTTTGCTTTTTTTTTTTGTTTTAAACTTAGATTTTCACTTAAAAAATAAAATAGTAATCAATTACTAAAGAGCTCAGTCTAAAAAAGAAAAGAAACTTTCTCAAAATAGGAAGAGTTTTCCCATGAAAACTGTCATTTCTCCTATGAAAAAAACAAGATGAGTTGGATGGAGATATAACTCTCCACACCAAATTTCTCAATTTAAGAGACTTTTAGTATTTTAAATGTATAAGGTAGTTCATATTATGGAAGATGTTTATTGGCATCTTGGGAGACTGTATAAATCACAACAGCTCTTTCACCATTTGTCATAGGATCAAACTACGAGGTTGAATAAAGTCCATAAAACAGTCGAAGTGCAGCTAGAAGTGCAGCGGTCTATAATTGGAAGAGCTGTATCATATTTCTGGGTGAAAGTTAACTGCCTGTACTCTGTACTCTATACTCAGGCCATCTGACCTTCAGTGCTATTATGTTTCTTGAAGTACTTGAAGCCCTTGAGGTGAGGAATGAAGTTGCAAATAAGACCTAAATTATGTGTTGGCCAAAGCTTGCATTTCAAAGCAAAGCATCGTTTTCAGCACATCTAGTTTGACTCCTCCAGTATTTTTCCACTTAATGAGTGAAGGTATTACTGTGTTAAAGAATTACTCACCCAATTAGGGACACCATCTGCTCCACTATATGTTTGCTGAATGTTATAATAACGAAAAGTTTCTGTAGGAAGGAAAACATCAGTTAGAGAAACATTTGATGAAAAGGGAAGCAGACACAATGGGGTGCGACAATTTATGTTCCTCTCCAACCAGACAGCTTCTCCAGCACTCACACATAGTTTTCTCTCTCTTTTCTTTCAAGATCTTTATTTTTCAACACTCTCTTCAAAAAGAGGGAGGAGAGAGAAAAGCTGTTTCCTTTATTATTCTATTTCCTCATAGATTTCATTTCTTGCAATGTTTTTGTAGCCTGTGTTACTAACCATTCGCATCCTCCCCAAACTTAAATTCCCAGCAGCTCAAGGTCACTTTACTCCGTCAACAATGTTTTAATGGAAAAACAGTCATCACTGTGCAGAAAAACTCACATCCCCTTACACAAACATGTAACATTTTTCACTTCACACAGAAGTGAAAAATAATCTGTCTTTTAGTCCTCTAGTTCGTGTGTTTCAGACAGAATCACAACAAATACTTAGTGCAGAACCAAGTAAGAGCCACTGGGTACCTGTCTGTTCAGAAAACTTGGATTGTCACTGCCTCTAGTGCAACAGACTCTTCAGAACAGAGTAATTTCAATAAGCTACATGTTAGAGGGTTTCTTTTATCTTGCAGAAAACCCCAGGGTCCATAATTCTACCACTCCCCTTCTACCACAAGTTAACATTTTGTTAAAACAGCCTTTGCAAATTCCACTTTTGTCATATTTGACAGCTTGTTCGTTGGCAAAGGGTGAGCAAGGCTGTGTGTAGATGCGTATACACGCACAAACAGTTCCCACAGCCTCCTTAAACATGATCTAACGAGAACTGCATTCCCTGGTCTGGAAGCAAGGGATGTGACTAGAACTACACAAAATGATTCTGTGGTTGGGAGGAAGAGGCCAGTTAAAAGCAGCTCCAGGATGGCCACTGCACCCGAGTCACTCGCTTCCTGTCTAGAGAAAGATTTCATTAAAAGCCTTTTCCATGACTCTTACATTTCCTAAATTCCAAATTGCAGCAAGATTGCTACAAAAATGAAGGCTGTTGCACAAGAGTGTGCTTTAAGTCAAGCATCGCAGAAAAGAGATTGCCAATAGCTAAACCTTTTACAGAAGATGATTTACCAACTGTACAGGACGCTGGGAAGTGTTTTTTGCTTATATCTGACCTGAGTGTGGAACACTATAAATTACATAGCACACAGCCTGCTAGCTAAACAAGACAAAATAATAAAAGGAATATTACACAAATACTATTTCACTTTTCTGTGTTGCCAAAACAAATTCTAACAGATCACAGAAAAATTCAGATAATACAGAAATAAGTGTGAAGAAAGAGTTGTTCTAACACAGTAAATGAAAGAATTTTCAGATCTATTTATTCTTTTATGTTTAAGGACTGGGGAAAGTAAAAAAAACATTTACAAAAAGATGGGAAGGAAGAAAAAAAAAAGAAGAGGGTTGAAGGTTGAAATCCTCTGTTTGGGGCAAAAGAAAGATTTTTAAGCAGCTCGATGAGGGTACTAGACCAGTAACTTTATACTACTAATAGCTTCTGATGTTTTAATGTAGTGACAGCGAAGATTTCCAAGCAACACAGCTACAGGCACCACACCAGCCCTATGGAGATGCTTAAAAATCCCCAAGCCCCAGCTGAAAACATTGGTTCTAATCGTTAGGAAGGGAGCGATGTAGTTCGTGATGCAGCACTAACCACACCACCACCAGTGAAGAGTTGCCAGGGAATCAGTACTTCATCTGTCGCCCAGCAGAACGGTGACACATTTTACAAGCGGGACTGGAGAGTCTGATTGCCAAATTCAGAACATCCAGTACGGTTCTGAGTTAGCAAGAAGAACTGGACACGCTCTGGCCCTTTCAAAATAATACAGGGCGAGGACACCCAAAATTGCTAACCATGCTCGAAAGCGATGGACAATATGCCCAGGGACAAATCCTCAGACTGTTTCCTGCAGGGCCTGAACGGAAAGGGGTTTTCTCTACACCGTCAACTGAGATAAAAGGGAGCATTTAAAAGTGGCGCTTAACCGGTAAAAGCTAGCTGCAGTGCTCTTTGAAACGAGTATTTGTTACCAAAAAGGCAAGTTCATTATGAGTACGAATGATCCTTTCAGTCTGGTAAAAACCATAGGTAAATAACTTGGCTAACCACCAATTTCCTGAGTGGTGTAGGCAGTAAGCTCATTAGTTTGTAGCTATAAATTATTCAGTTGCCCAAGTTTTGCACGTAAGAAGCCTAGCAGATCCTTTATTGTAAATCCTTTGCACCAAATTAATTTCCATTACTTCAGGTCAGGAAGGGAGACTCCAGAATTCATTATAAAGTAACCCAGTGTAACAGTCAAAAACCCCAGCAGTCTTCACCCAGAGCCCTGAGGGAGGTGTAGTACTTGCCTGGATGTGCATTTTAATTACTGCTTTCCCAATCAAGGTTGCACCGAAGAAGGTCCAGAAGGGAACCAGAAAGTGTCCACATGTTATCCCGGCCAGGTCAAACAGAGGGTTTGGAATCTATGAAGTGCAAGGGAAAGAAGTTCATGAATTGCAGCACTTACTTAGGTGAACAGGAACACAACGGACTTTGAGACATTGAAAAATGAACATTTTCCCCTTACTCAACTTGATCTAAAAGTCTTGTGTCTTAATACTCACAAAAATGTCAGTGTTGCACCACATAACTTAAGTCTCTGGGATTCAGCTAGACAATGTCCCAGACAATTCCATTCTCATGGTCCCTCCTTACCCCTGGATTTTTAAAAAGCTAACAAAAAGGTTTCCATGTGAAATGCACAGAAACCACAGTAAAGCCATTTTGAGCGATTTATCAAATTTTCTCACTGACAAGCACATCACTCTTGGAAGCTAGTGTTCAAAATGATCCCCAGTGATTTCTATCTGAGAAAGTACATTAAAAACTGGCATTCAGAGTCATATGTATCCAGTTTAAAAGCACTGATTAGATTTTATTAAGCATATGCATTTCATTTAAAATTAAAAGGGGCTTTTTTTTTTTATTGTTAAACTGTTGGCTTGACGTTTGGCATTGTGATACTATCTGTAAAATATTTCTGAAGTCAAACCAAGAAAGTGTCCAAATTCCAACCTTTCACACTTAGCGTGCAGTACAAGGGCAGACCGTCTGAGGAAACACATGGGGGATGTGGAATTCACAGTAGCAGCGTATTACTGGGCTAATATCCTGCAGTGTTTGTGTCGTGTTACACAAACAAGTAAATAGAGTGTAGATTGTTAAAGACCATATAAGAGAATAACTTTTGCAGCTGACCGAATGGAAATGCAAAATCCATGAGAAAGGCTATGAGGGTTATACTTAGCTGTTATAGACTCGCAATTCAAATTTATGAGCACCCACAACACCACCTGCATAGGAAGAAATCTGAAACGGTCTCTAATCATGCCCCGAAACGGTCTCTAAACATGCTGCACTTCAACTAAAATGATTCTTTACCTCTGACAGCTGTCTCTGGCAGGGGGGGCTAGTAAATCACTCAGTCATACCACCGCCAGATAGTTTTGCTCTTCTGAGCCAAGTCTGCTCTAGGTCTCAAGTGTGTTGGTTGGTTTGAGGGGTTTTTTCTAAGTTCACAGAACATCTTAGTTACTGCATTACTGTCACCAGAGAGGGAGCAACACACTTCAGGTAGGGGTACCTGTGGGTGTCATCGGTGCACTGAACAGAGCACAGTAGAGTTACTCAGCACGCCCCTATTAGGGTGTATCAGCAGGCCAGCGAGATTGTGCCTTTCTTTGGTTTTCAAAAAACGCACACACAAAGAACAGTTGCCAAAAAAGCCCTCAAAGACAGGAGGGCAACTTCTCACAAGTCACAGCAAGGATCTTCCAGGGCTGATTCTTGCTCTGCTCCTTCCCCAGAGCTGTCTCTACATAGGAAAGGAGCTCCAGGCGATACTATGGCTTTCTTACTGCCACTAATCAACACGGCATCCAGTTGCCTTCACTGGATAAGCTTGCACTGCTTTAAATTCAATTTGATTAGTTTTTTATGTGGCATTTAGAAGCCACTGCCTGACAGACAACAACCTGCAGCCAGGACAGTCGTTACCACTTCGCAAATAAGTTCTCTAACCATGGAAAACACACCCAACTAAAATACTGTTTAAAATCTCAAAGTGTGATGGCAATTACAAGAGGAGGCAAGTCAAGGAGACACCTTGTAGTACATGGAGAAGCAGCAACAAGCAAGAGAAGCCCTGAAGGTCGTGGGGGAACGCACAAATGCAAGGATCACACGTGAGGGGCTGCTTTCTTCTCCTACGGATGCAACAAGGTGTATAGTTTCAAATCCCTCTGCTTTTCCATTGCCTCTGCCACATTTAACCTCACCCTTTTTACTGCTATTCTGCAGTTATTCTGTAAACACATTTACAAATCCTCAAGTGTACTGGGGCAGACTGATGATTCCTCCTCCCTCGCCCAACCCAGGGCAGCCTATATAAGCAAAAGGAAGCTGGGGCTCAGACCACGTCGAAGAACAGCGCAGCAAGTAGGTAAGAAGTTAAGCAAATGTTTAAGTATTACTAAGCAGGAACTATGAAGAGTTTACACATCACCTCTCATGTTTACCAACTCCTTCCTCCTGTTCTCCATTTACCCACATTTCACCCTGTCCGGCCACTCATCCCTGCCATCTACAAGCTGTTGTTCTGCTTACACAAGACAGAGCAGCCTGTGCAGCGATGTCTCACACGTTGGTGACTAGAGAGTCGTGAGTCAGAGGCAGCAAAGGAGCAGTCTAAGAGCTCACTGGATGGAAAGATTTAAAGAACAGCTTGTAACTTACGTCTCCACTCTAAACGTTACGACATTTCAAAAGATTAGTACACAGAAGTCATATGCCAGCAACTATAATCAGATTACTTCTTTCCAGCTAACACAGGTTACTTACATTTGAGCAAATAGTTAGCACTGTCATCCCTACAATTAAGGAAACTAAGAGACAAGCGTGGAATTAATACCTCATCAGCTGAGCAGCCGGCAAATGGCTGTGGTTATTCCAGAACAATGGGATCAGAGGGGACCTACACTTCCCCCCTTCGCTGTAATCACATTTCTCTGCATCACATCCCACAAATTGTGTGGGACATGGAAGAATAAGGCACACCATTCCTACCAGTTTTCATTAAGCTTCCAGAAAGACTTAAACCTCAAGTGGTTCAATGTTTTTCTGCTCCAAAACGGCATTATCCTCTTTAAAACACTAAAATAGCAACAGTGGAGATGCTCCTATCGCCTCTCGCTTAGAGAGACAAAAGCCCTACAAGCAGTTTGTGGATCACAGAGCCATGACTCTGAAAGTGGCTTCCTCCTCCTGCTCTCGCTGGTTCCCAGTGACCCACAGGTATCTCCAGAGCAGACTTGGGAGAACTACGATGGGTGGATAACCTAACCAGGTAGTTTTCTACTCTTCAATTTGACCATATCTTTGGATCTGAAGATGCCAAGTACTGTAAGCTATAGGACATAAACATCTAAAGAAATAATGCGGCCCCAGGAGAATCTGCAGGTAATAATACTGCTCTTGCTATATCCTGCCAGCTACTAATCTGTGCTAGGAAAGTCCCAGGAGGATGACTGTCAGTGAGCACATGATCTCATCTGCCAAATACCCACTAACCCAGAGCAGTGACTAGCAGTGGCACGTGCCTCTAGTAGAGAGGACATGGCCTCAACATCAAATGCAGGGAGCACCCCTGTCTGAAAGATTGGAACTGCTTGAATTTTAAGAACTTCTTAGTTCAGTCTCTTTTAAGTCTTCCTCATGGTGACAAGCCTTTTGCATCTTTAGTGAACTGACGTGTTTTTAATCGGGTCTCACCACTGTGCTGAACTATACAATGAATTGCTTCACCTTGGAGGTGGAAGGTGTTCCTGCCCATGGCCCGGGGGTTGGAATGAGATGATCTTTAAGGTCCCTTCCAACCCAAACCGTTCTGTAATTCTCTGATCTTTTGAAAAAAGGGATCCCTTGCTGCACCATTATTTTCTGATGGATTTAAAAAAAGAGACAGAACTACTCCAAACGCATTTTCTTCCAAGGAGAACTAGTGTCAAGAAGCCCAAAAGTGAAGCTGAAAGGAGGGATAACAACAAGTTAGCTGTGCTTTTATGCAGAATTCACTGTGTTTGGTACTAATCTAGGACTGGAGTTTCTCCATGCTATTGTACTTGTCAGTACCACAACCATCCCATTTCTCTAAGTGCCACAGAGAGTAGAAGAAGGAAAGAAGGCACGAGGATCCATATGGAGGCAAATAAAACTAAGTCACAGTTCACAGCATTAATTTCATTGCCATGCACTCAACCTGCAGTCTGTGAATACAAACCCCTCTGTTACTGAAAAGAACTTACTGAAGCGCAGGCCAAAATGCCGAAGAACCCAACCTTCTGCACCAGGTTCTGCACAGCCAGTTTGGCCCGGGAAGCGAAATCCTGCAAAGAAGAAAACGAAGCATTAACGAAGCAAACCCCCAAATGAACATAACCTCAAAGTGTATATGATTTCAATACCCTCCACGATTTGGGATTTCCTAATTAGCATTTGGGAGAATTTTTAAAACAAAAAGGCCAGTTTGAAACTCCGGGCTTAGAGGGAAGAGAGAGGAATTCATAATGCTCAGTGTGAAGATCTGACCACCCACATGTATTATCCAAATCCCTGCGAGTGGCACTAAGTTCACACTACTATGGACACAGGTTTTCTAGTATTTATCTCCCCGGACCTTTGGATTGCCAGTGCTGCTGATACCTTATTCCTTAATCAAGGGAATTAATTCCTTCAATGCCATTTACAATTTTAAGAGGTACACCCTCAAAACACAAAGCCAGAATATAACAATCCCATTACATCCTGTGATTTTTACTCTCAATCCCAAAATCTTAATCCAAATAGCTAATTCCAGGTACTCTCCACAACAGCCTAGTAAAGTTCATTAAATGCAGAATTGAATCTAAAGTACTTCAAAGCAACAAAAGTGGCAAAGCATGTAACATTTGAGCAATTCTTTACAAAAACATGCTAAGAACATGCTGCCTACTTTTATTGTGGGACCACAACTTTGAAACATGCTCGTGACAAAGTCAAGAGTCTCCAAGTTTACCAAATAGTAAACATTTTTAAAAGCAAAAATAAAGATTCTCACAAGCAGTTTATTTGAATGTGTAAGGGAATTTACATGAGAGTAACATTCTTTTAAAGCAAAACTGTCCAAAAAGTTAAAAACAGGGTCAATATTATCTTTTCAGGCTTGGCAATAGCAGTTATAAAAAGCTGGGTATCCTTGGTAATAGCAAGCTTTAGAAAGTAATTATTGATACTTTTTCAAAAACCTACATATAAGCAATAAAAACCTGATTTTCCAGTATCAATGCAATATTCACCGATTTGAATGTTGTAGAAAATTATCAGATAAATTGCACAGGGAAGTTAACTAATAATAATTAATGAAATTCTAAATTCTACACTTCTACTACAGCATAATAAAAAAAAAATTACATTTATGTAATTTTAACTTTGTTAGCATTCTGTTGAAATATTCAATCCTCTATACCAGGGCAAGTAAATTACAATTACCTGACAATGTTCTTGCATATTATTAAATTCTAAACTATAGAGCTGACAAAAGGTTTCTATGCCAGATTTAAAAAAAAAAAAATCTGTGTTAAGGCCATTTGCTATCTTTTTACACCCCTTTTTCAAGTAGTGACTTTTCTCCATTACAGTGCTATAAAAATAGTGAACAAATTCTCAAATCAAAACCCCAATTCTTAATGAAACCAGAAAATTTCTATTTATTATACTTTTTATTTGTGAAAATAACTTGAATTAAAACAAATACTTCAACTAAAAGAAAAATGCCAAATAAGTGAGATTTCCTAAATGTTACAATGGTACATTTTTAACCACATGACAGCATGCAAACCCCGTTAAAACAGTCTGTGAGGGGTGAATTTGCTAATTTTAACCAAGAGTAACACCGTGGGATCGTGAATGTCTTATTAAAAAAATGAGTAGGTGAAATATTTACTTTGTTCCTGATATTTTCCTGAAATAGGATATGAACAGGGTGCATGAGGGATTAAAACCGAGACCCAGTTTGGCTGATACCAAACAAACTTATATTACCAGGAACAGGTCTAGAACATGCCTACATCACAAGTTAATTTTTTTCATGCTTTTCAGTTAAAAGTGCATTTTGACCCAAACTGTTATACCTAACAAAATGTGATAATTTACTAGGGAGCTAAGTTCAAAAAAATCTTGCAACGTTGAGAGCAGTTCCTTCTCAAACTCTGATTCCCTCATCACTATCTCCATGTTAGCAAACAAAACCAAAACAGGGTAATATAGGATCACTAATACGGGGCAGCACTAACACACAGTCAGTCCCACAGAGGGTTTAAGACCCGAAATGAAAAGGATGCAAGACTCTTGCAGAGTGTGAGCACACAGCCATCAACAAAGGAAACAAAATGCAGCCCACTAAGGAGACAACAGGTATTGTAATTCCTTCACCAAATACAAAAGCAGAAATATGTCTTCAGAACCTCTCTACAAATTAATTTAAAATGAAAAAGCGTGCTAAAGCAGAACTGTAACATTGTCCTGCCAACCAGATTCTCTTCTTTGAAAAGGTGAAATGAAAAATAGTGCTTTATGCAGGAATTTCATAAGATGTCACCCCTTGTACTCTACAACAAAGCTGAATGCGACCATGATATTTTCAGTTCCTATTTTGTTCACCATTTCACAATGCTCATGGGGTTAGAACAATATTTTCACTTTTATAAGGCAATACAGATTTTTTTTTTTTCCACAACTCCATAAATCTCATTGTAAAGTATCTTTAAAAGAAAACACTACAATCCAATTATTCAAATAGGTCCAGGATATATTTCAATGGAAGTTGTTTCTGTTCTAATTTTAACCTGTTTACCCATTATCTAAGACTGCATTGCTAATACACCGTTGTATTCATTTTCACAAGCTGGAATTGGAAACAAACTCCAGCAAGTGACCTATAAAGCATTGCTTGCAGCACAGCTGCTTTAATAAAATATATTATAATTATATATAGATTGACTGTATTAACTCAGTGGAAGCACAGCGGACCATTTTTCATCAAATTTCTTAAAAATAAACATCCCTCACTCACTGCAAAATTCAAGGCTGTCTTAAAACTAATTTTTTCCCTCCAGCTAAAAACATACAAATTTTTAATATAAAAACAATCATGAAAAAAGGCAACAATTTTGTCTTTCTCTCTCAAAAAAAACCCAAACCAAAATTGGGACAATTTTTCTCACTGTATTAATTCACAACTTTCTTTTTTTAAAGTTACTACTCAGACTGCTTCTTCTTTAAGTTTTTTTTACATTAATTGTCTATTTCAAAAAACTCCACGGAAAACACAGCTATAGTCCTAAAAATTTCAGTTAAGAAATTCTAATTTGTCTTACTTTTTCAAACTTCGTAAATAAGTCAAAAGTGATAAATTAAGAGGTTTTTTCCCCTATTTTCTATGATCTAATGTAATCATAGATAGAAATAATTTGCATGGCAATATACACACCAGGGCGACATCAAAATTATGTATTTGCAGCCTTAACATTTACTTTAATGAAAACAAGTTTAGAAATACTTCTGTTTGGTTGCTTCCTTAAATTTCATTTGTCAAATCTTTGCAACATCTGCAATAATAAAAAAAAAAAACCTTAAAAGTTTCATTTCTCAGAGAATACAATCATCAGTTTCACAACTTTTACCTATTTCACAATATAATTTTTCTGTTATAAAGCCTCGCAAAGGGAACAATCTTTTCTCTACCTTTTGTTAAGCATTTGAAAGAAAATCAAAACAACTTTCACAACTTACTGCTTAAAAAAAAATAATTAAAAAGACATAAAAGTTCAGCTACTTACAGGCACAACATTTTCCCCCAAAATTAAGTATCTAGACTGGACTCGACTCTCAGCTAACGTGATTCATTCTCTATAACATTTCAGGACACTTTAGCTCACTATGTGCCTTTCAAAGATGATTTGGTTTTTTGGTTTGGAAATAGATTTCCTGTGACTGGTACAATACAGGCAAAGGAAGGTTAAATGATTAAACATTACTTCATTGGGTTAATCATCAGATCTCAAGAACTGGAATGGAAATAAAAGGCATAAAAAGGTCAGTGCTGAAACAGTGATTCACAAGTCTCAGCTGGCGGCTTGAGGAAGTTTGCTTCATCTCTGCCTTCAGTAAAACGGCACATTTTATTGATACCAGCATTTTATTACTACATGTTGCAAAAGCAAAAAACCCTCCCAAAACTCCAAACCTAAAGGAACAGTAAAGAGAAATTACATAATTTGCTGCTAAGTAAGATTTACCACAATGTTCCTCCTTTCAATGTACATTACGGTACAGCTCTGAGTATAACTTTACGTGGACCATTTACCCCCTAAAAAAAGCCCTCCTTCTTGAAAGAGTGAACGGACCATCTTAACTACAAGGCATCATCCCATCCCTCTGTTTTATTTTATCTCCATTTACAATTTAACTCTGTTTCTTCTTTCTCCATTTTAAAAGTTGCACAAGCTCTTCTGTATTTCAGTAAAGAACACTTCACTGGATTTAGTTAACAAGCTCAAAGGAAAAAACCCTCCAATTTTTACTCCTTTCCTTCTATAACACTGATTTATTATCAGAAAACAGAACGGTCATAATTTACTGTTCCCACTGAAATTGTGAAGCCTCCTTTTTTCTTAATCGCTAAGAACATATCCTGTGGATGGACCCATAACGAGGAACTAGCTGATGGTTACCAAGGAGCTCTGAAAAATCAGCATTAGATCCAATCCCACAGTCCTTACAGAAACAACCCCTCAGACTTCGACAGAAGGTATCTTCTCGAAAGACTGCACAGATGGGTCTAGAACTGTGGTATTATGTAACGGTTAATTTTCTAACATGAAGTTGCAATCAGTTTTTAGGAGCATCAATAAAGCTATGACTCCCTACCACAAACCAACCCTCCCCTGCATGCAGCAGCGATGATAGCTGTCAGTCTCCGAAAGGTACGATCAGGACTTCCAATGATTTGAGGCCCAGAAAAACCTTTCTCCTATCACGATTTTTTTCTGCTGCCAATACATCAAGCACTTTACAGATCTGTTGGTAATGTTGGTATATTGGTGGATATAGCCCAAAGAAGGCCAGTAAAGAAGCAATATATCAGACTAAATTCAATCAGAAGTTCCCAGTGTATGTATTTTCTACCAGTAAGAACATACCGTGACTCAACTTAGGAACAGGAGTAACTCAGTGATATGAATATTAATGCAATTGCTCAAGCAGGATATTAATTATCTAACAAAAGGTAGTCTTAAGAAGTTCAAAATAGATTTCTGGAAGGCTTGGGAGGGGTTACGCAGGATTTGTT